AGGAATCCCTGTTTACACTGCGAATCGACTACAAAGATGGGCGATAACATTACTGGCGTACGATTTCAACATCCAGTACCGATCAACAAGAAACTTTGGCCAAGCAGATGCCCTCTCACGCCTCATTGCAACACAGTCCGCTCCAGAAGAGGATCGAGTAATTGCCGCTATTTCTGTTGATGACGACATCTCACAAACACTTGCCAACTCAATTCGAGTTCTACCGGTCACAGCTCAAGAAGTTAAAGAATTTACAGCAAAGGATCATCTCCTCAAACAAGCTATCAGCTATATTCAAGGATCATGGCCTACAAAGATAACCGATCCACACTTGCTGTGCCTATATAATCGCCGTGACGCACTCTCAACAATTGATGGATGCATTTTACTATCAGACAGAGTAGTCATTCCAGCATCGTTGCAGCCACGAGTCCTTCGACAACTGCATAATGGACATCCAGGAATCGTTCGCATGAAAGCTGTAGCACGCAGCTATGTCTATTGGCCAGGTATTGACCAAGACATCGAAGACACCGTCCGCAGATGTACTCGATGTTCAGCTGTCGCCAAACTTCCAGTCAAAACAACGCTGGCATCATGGCCTCAACCCGAGAATGCCGTGGACTCGTATTCACATCGATTACGCAGGACCATTCCAAGGAACATACTTTCTAGTGATTGTGGACGCTTTCTCAAAATGGCCAGAAATTTTCAAGACGACTCGCACAACGACAGAAATTACCATTGCTCTCCTTCAACAAACCTTTGCCAGATACGGGATTCCAGAAACCATAGTTTCAGACAACGGTACACAATTCACTTCAGCCGAATTCAAGAGATTCTGCACAAATTATGGAATCCAACATCTATTTTCACCGCCCTATCATCCACAATCCAATGGACAGGCCGAAAGATTTGTCGACACTTTCAAGAGGACGCTTTCGAAGCTCAAAGGAGAGGGAAGCTTAACAGAAATTCTACAAACCTTCCTTCTAAGCTATCGATCGACTCCAAATTCGTCTTTAGATGGGAACAGATCTCCGGCAGAACTTTTCATAGGACGCAAATTGCGAACCGTACTCTCGCTGCTCAAGCCGATTCAACAGCGGACCTCAAGACACAACACGATGATGGAATCACAATTCAATAAGCAGCATGGCGCTAAGAAACGTACTTTCAGCACAGGAGATTTAGTGCTAGCACGCCAGTACAGTGGAAACCATTCCAGATGGCGTAATGGTAAAGTGCTTCAACGAATCGGAAGAGTACTCTACAAAGTTCTCATTGGAAAGGAAACTTGTGTTCGACATGCAAATCAACTCCGGCTTCGCTACCATGAAGATACCTCCGAACAAGATGATATGGAAACATTATTCGAAATGTTTGATCTGAATCACGAGTCTCCAGCTCCACTGCAGCCGACGGCAGGCTCACATGGACAAGACGGGGACCAGTCAAGAACACGGGCTAATCTCAATCAACCAAGAAGATCGACACGGATGAGCAGGCCTCCAGCACGGCTTCAACTGGATCCACGTCAGAAGACATACTCTACCTGATACATTGTGATCTCGTGTTCATTTAAAAAAAGGGGAGATGTTATGGATGAACAATAAATGATCTCTTTTGTATCACTTGTTTTCGAGTTCTCTCGAAAACATCTCCTCTATATAAGCCTGTGACTTCAGTATGGTTCTTTATGTGTCTTGAATGAAGCTTCATCTTCTACTCGACTACCGACATAACAAAGGGGAGGCTGGAAGGGAAGAGGAGAAAGGGAGAGAACATGGCGCTGCTATGCGCCGGAGAGAAGGGGTATAAGGAGGTATAACACATTCAATAGTGAGGTGGTTAATGGAGTACGTCATGCTGCTATTCCGTGGTTCCTCCCTACCCTGTGATGCGCGCGATAGCGGGCGGAGCAAACCTGGTTATTTGTATCTTGATTAAAGTGAATATAAATTGATAACAATATGCAAAACCCTTATAAAATTAAAAAGGTGGAAAATGTTTATAGCTGTCCACTGAATTAAGGCAATAACTCATTGATTGAGTATTCCTTTAACTAGTTTATTAACATTTTTATAATTATTAGCCATTGAGAATTTATAGCATATAACTTATTTTTATAAATACACTTAACTATATTAGATATAATAAAGTCCTCATGATAACCATTTCCTAGTAACACTCTTATGAACTCTGTTAGTTTATCAGTAAATGTGTCAAATACGGAACAAGTGTTAGCTATTCTAAGTGTTTCAGTGTATATAACGGAGCCTTTATTATTTATGGAGATATTTGTGTCATTATGTGGGAATCTAATAACCTTGAACTGAAAATCATCCGTCTTGTTATATAATCTAGTCATAACTCTATTATTTATTATACTTATTGTTAAATCCAGATAATTACTAGATGTTTCACTTAAATGTGTTTTCAATTCAAGTGTATTCATATACACTTCTGCTAGTTGAATGTCAATATTCATCCTCGGTTTGGTTATGTATTACTAGCAAATCATCCATATATCTGAATGGAATGAATAACTTATTTTTATTAAACTTATACTTTATTGCATAATTGTATTCCATGACGGAGAGGGTAAGATCAGCTAATAGGGACTGAAATTACCTCCTTGTGGTACTCCTTTGTTTTGTTTGAATATATGATTGCCAAATGCAATAACTGTTTTTTAACAAATATTCTGTGAAGTATAACAGGTCAGCAGGTTTATAATATCTACCAGTTTAGCTCCGCACACTACCGCGTGCATGACACGGAAGGGCTCCGTAAAGCTGGCCAGCCGGAGGAGCGTTAGGTTCGCCGCTAAACAATAACTTGCTTCGTGAAATGCGTTAGCTGGCCTTCTACAGAATGCCCATTTTTAACCAACCGTCTGATACGCGCGGTGGAGTGCGGAGCTACAGTGGTGTCTGTAAACAGCCACCATGCATTGGATGTCAGGATGATTTAGCGGTCGAATAATATTGATGCCAATGATTTTGCAATAGAAATACCCATTATCGTATATCGCTAAACATCCATCATACATTCTTAGGGATTTTGGGAATATAGCGGTCGAACGGTATTTTATGTTGATGACAACAACGCAATGAGATGATTCTGAAGTGAAATGCGTTATCTAGAACCACGGTTTTAAGCGATCCATATGTTCCCACGTGATTATCGGCCCTTATCACCTCCTGTACCCCACCGAACATGTTCCCGTCCCACCCTGTACATCACTTCTTGGAACCAACGCCCCACTGCTGGGACGCGCGCTATGAATTTCATGAAATTTGCGCCTCTTATCAACCCTTATCAGCCCTTATCACTTTCTGTACCCCACCAAATATGTTCCCGTCCCACCCTGTACATCACTTCTTGGAACCAACGCCCACCACTGCTGGGACGCGCGCTATGAATTTCGTGAAATTTGCGTTTTGGCGCCTCTTATCAGATCTTATCAGTCGTTATCACTTTCTGAACCCCACCAAATATGTTCCCGTCCCACCCCTACATCATACTCAAAATACAGCGCTCCATGCCTGCAGCGAAGCGCGCTATGAATTTCGTGACAGACGGACGTACGTACAGACAGACACACACACACACAGACAGACATACTTAGCGAATTATATATAGTAGGATAGTTGCTACTTGCTGATTCACCATTTGTATAGAAGACGTGATAGCCATTAGTGGCGACAAGCGATTTATCAGCATTCTTAAAACAAATGTTTAAGAGATGCTGTATATTCCTAATAATGACAATATGTTCCAAATTAGTAAACATGTCTGCGAAATCTGCTGTGTAAATTTTGAGATTTTCATGTGTGATATTGTTGAGATCTTGACTTATATTTATGTTGCTAATGACCAATATGTTTTGATTGTTCTATTTCTGTTTTGTATTACTTTAGTATAATTAACGAAGTGATTTTTTATGTGCGTGAAAATAATGTGCATTCTTGTGCTAGAGGTTTGATGCTACTTTTATGGTGCACCTGTAATATATCTAAACTTATAGGGTTTTTATGTAGTTTAGGTAAAGCATATATGATGGGTAGAGCATCTACAAATGTGTTAATATTATTTCTCACACAAAGGAACTTGTGTTTCAATATCAACGAGTACTTGTTGTCGCATTGTACTGGTTCATATGTATTACTCGTGTTTTCCTTCGAAGGCACGAGTCGGGATTGAATTGATGCGTTATTTTGTTCAAACATTAGGCAAGGGGTGCAATGAGGAACATTAGTGAGGAGAAAAAGCAAAAAGCACCATAGAAAACACTAAATTTCCCTTAGGAGGCCGGCCGTAGTACGACGGAGAGACACAGCGCTGCGAGGAGAGGGAGAACGCGAGATAGTACGTCGTACGCGAGAGGACGCAGAGACCACGTATGCCGTGGTGGATTACGCTGGCAGCGCGGGCAGCGCGGCGCGCCATTGCCGCGCACTTTTGGGTCGCGATAGTGTCGCGCCCTCAGTGCTTGGGGAGCCCACTATCGCACCCTGGAAAGAACTTCTGCTGGTTGCCTAATCCTGACTCGTGGCTTTAACACAGGTGTGGTTGTTAATATCATAGTGAGTGCCCATTTACTTCATTATGGTTATGTCGGTGGTTCGTAGGCGTGGACCTCCTGACGCGATAGAAGTTTATTGGGCGTATATGTAGAAGCAGACCACAAGAAGAAACCGACTGAATCTCAGAGCGATCCACCGTCCTTATATACGGTGGATTATGGGCGGGACAATAGCTATGATTACATTCTACAGTACAGATCAGCTGATAGATAACGTTAAGCTCAGCTTACAAGATGAGTCATCCAGAATCTGCCAATACAATATGAATATGAAATACATACGAAATAATCACAACCAATAATCAACCATGCTTAAATCATACAAATACTAAATGTTATCATAGAGAGTATTCTCTATACTCCCGGCCGAGACGAGTAGGTTCGACCACTGTTGTACGAGGCATTTCACTTGGGCCGTCTGTGCTGGTGGTCCGTCGATCTTGTCGAACTGCGTCGTTTCTCCTGTCCTCGGCGTGCGTCCTGGTCTCTCCCGGTGCTGCGAGAATCACAACTTCTTCTGGCTTCTTCGGAATGCTCACGTGTTCTCGAGTGACTGAGGCTGCGCAGGGCCTCTTCCCTCTCAAGTCGGCGCTCCAAGTCCCTCATCTCTCGCTCGACCCGATCCTCCCTTGCTTGAAGGCGTGATCTCCTTTGTTTTAGATCATCGATCGTCCTTGTTGAGCCGCTCCTTCCTTTGCATTCCCGCCGTTCTCTTTCGATTGACTGGTTCACTTCAAGCATCGCATCCCTGACCTCTTTCAGCTCTCGTTCAGTCTCACCCATCTGTCGCAGAATCCTCTCCATTTCAGAGGCTGGTTGCGAGTTCACGTCGACAACATTTTGGGAATTCAGTTCCTTGAGGCTTGCCATCAGTTCGTTCATGTCTCTTTGAAGCTGCGGGAGGTTCAGTGCGTCGACAAGAGCCTGTGTACTTCCGTATTTTTCCTTTAAATGGGCGACGACTAAGTGGATAAGTGCGACCAGACACCTCGAACTGCTTGACGGTTTCTTTAGCCTCGCCTTGAAGTGCGTCAAGGAGGTAATTCATCTTGTACAAATCGTCCATTTCTCGAGAATCCACAGAGTGCTTGAAAGCTCCCCAGAAGGTGTCCCATTCCCAGATGCGTCCGCTGAACTTGGGAATAGGAATCGGCGCCAAATTTGTCTGAGGGGCTTCTGAGAAGCTTGTGTGAGTTTCCATTTCATCGAGCTCCTCTAGGCAGCGCTTCAGGGAGGTCAGCATTGTCTGTCCATAATCCAGAACAGCTACGGCCGTTTCGACGTTGGAATTGACCTTTTTGAGGATGTCCAACGACGGAGTATCAGCTGCCAAACTGTCAGCAGCACTACTGTAGCGTCCCAAAGCGTCGTCAACACTGAGCGTTTCCGATTCCAGAATGGCCTTCACCGTTCGGATCTGCGCCACGCTCCGTCCTCATATAGATCCTTCGCTCGTGCTCGTCCGATGGAGGTTGTAGAATTGCTTGTGCCCAATCCTTGTTAGCCTCCAATGCACTATTGAGCCTATTCAGCGCTTTTGTTAGTAGTCCCTGCCTAGTGGACAGTGTAGTAGCCATGTTAGTCGTATAAGTGCGTCACTTCACTCCGTTAGTGATGCGTTCACTCTGTTAGTAGTGCAGGACGCGGACTATCAGCATGCACGGACAAGGACTGTGTGCGAGAGATCGTGTCTGTACTCACTTCCTTTGTTTCCTCGCACTCGTCCGATAGAAGCGCGTTCCAGTGGGTTTGTTCCTCAACCACTCCTTGACCGATCCTCTGCTGTGATTCCTTGATCGATCATCGGCTTCGTTCGCTCAGGCGGTGGTTCAGTGGTAGAATGCTCGCCTGCCACGCGGGCGGCCCGGGTTCGATTCCCGGCCGATGCACCATATGTCGGTGGTTCGTAGGCGTAGACCTCCTGACGCGGTATAAGTTTATTGGGTAATTACCCTATGTACAAGCAGACCACAAGAAGAAAACGACTGAATCTCAGAGCGATCCACCGTCCTTATATACGGTGGATTATGGGCGGGACAATAGCTATGATTACATTCTACAGTACAGATCAGCTGATAGATAACGTTAAGCTCAGCTTACAAGATGAGTCATCCAGAATCTGCCAATACAATATGAATATGAAATACATACGAAATAATCACAACCAATAATCAACCAGAATCTGGTTTAGGGGCGGAAGTGGTGTAGTGGCAAGTGGCACGCTTACCACGCGAGCGGTCCGGGGATCAAATCCTGGGTCGTGAGTCGCCCGGGCCAACCAAGCCTTCCATCCCTCCGGGGTCGGTTAATTGGTACCAGACTTGTCTGGGAGGATAAAAACACTGACTTGTACATCGGCTGGCCCCCGCAAGTCATTGTATAGGCCACATCGCATTCAAACGCCACTACGAATGTACAAATGGAAGTAGAATGCGTGCCGCATCCCAAAAGGGATTGATCAACGGCAAATGCTTTATCCTTCCACGGATCTCTTTCACTGAGGGTCCTCTCTCACTGAAAGATCTCGAGCCGGTTGGTGGCGAGGCTACGTGGCGCGACCCCAGGTGGCGGATAGGGGGTAAATCGCGGACCAAAAGCCACCATGTACTTGCCCTGAGACGCAGGTGGATTCAGGGGATGGACTCCCTGTTTCTGTAGTGCTGTGTTGATTCATACCAGCTGTCTCCACTCAGGCGCATCCATGCATGCTTGCGTGTGTGGTGCGCTCTGTGTGTGTGCGGTTGGTATCCTGCATGTCGGCACAGCCAAAAGCTTGCATTCAAGTGACTGGGAAGTACATGGGAGGCGATTCGGGGCCTCCAAAAATAAGCCCCTTGTTCCGCTCCAGGATAGCGTGGCTAACTACCTGGAGGTCTATCCTAGCCCGCCACACGACAGAGCCTGGCAAGCTACTCGTGTGCCTTCAATATGCCGAAAACAGCAATATGGATGGGCCTCATTTC